GGTGCGAGGAGGGATGAAAACAAGTCAATCCAGTGCTGAGGAAGATGCACATGGACCCGGACAAACTACATGAAGCTGCACCAAGAAATACAGAGACAAAAGCAGACAGGGATTTACATAAAAACACAGAAACAGAAAGGTAAGTGGAATACACCTGTTACATTTTTCTTCCTGTGAGACAGGTGAAGAGTAATAAACAGTGAAATGAATTATTTTTTTTGTTTCTTCCAATAGGCAATTGATTCAAAAATATAGTTTTATTTGAGATGTGTACTAACAGTACCTTTTGCACAGAAACAACACATTTGGATTTGCACTGATGACCTGCTCAATGCATTTTGCCTACTGACATTTTTTTTCTGTCTTTTTGGCTCAAGATTGCTCTTGAGTTCTTAATGCACCTAAGATAGGAGCTTGGAGACTACAAGGGTATTGCCTGGACTGGAGACCACTCATTCTTATAGCATCTCATACTTTGTAGATATGTCATACATTTTTTTAAAGATTTTTTAAAAGATTTTATTTATTTATTTTTAGAGAGGGAAGGGAGGGAGAGAGAGAGAGAGAGAGAGAGAGAGAGAGAGAGAGAGAGAGAGAAACATCAATGTGCGGTTGCTGGAGTCCGTGGCCTGCAACCCAGGCATGTGCCCTGACTGGGAATCGAACCTGCGACACTTTGGTTCACAGCCCACGCTCAGTCCACTGAGCTACACCAGCCATGGTGATATGTCATACATTTGTTTTTGACGCCCGAATGAAGTGCCTCCTACTAATCTAAAGACCTCATCTGAAGGACTCAGTGGGAAAGCCAAACCACAAGGGCAAGGGGAAGAACAGAAAGATGCACAGGCTGAAGGGCTGGACAAAGAAGGGAAGGATGTTTTTGATTAGCCAGGTTTACAGCCCAGGTTGTGCAAAGCTGGCTGATGTGGGGTGGACTGCACTGCGACCCTCGGGACGAGGCAAGTGCGTACCAGCCTCGGGGCAGCCACGAGGCGGTGAGTGAACGCCAGGCCCGGGCACGTGAAAGCCAGCGTGGCACAGAGACCTGTGTCTGAGGAATAAAATGTATGAGAGTCTGGCTTATTTTAATTTGTGGGCAAAACATCTGGTAAGAGTACAAATTTTAAATTATTTATCATTGCAAAGCAGAACTGCACCTGCTAGTCAAACTCAATAACAACAAATGAAAATAACAGGGCATTTTTATGTGGAAAGCCTGTGTGGGTAACAGATGGAAAATCACAGACTCTTCCCCCACCCCCAGTCTACACGGGGGGCAGCGTACAAAAAGCATAAGCCACTGTTGATAAGTATCAATGAATATCAGGGTACATATTATATTTGAAGATACGCAAATGTGGTAACACTATCTGCCCAATTCTGTCATGCTCTTGCTCTGTCCTCAGTGCTCCAAATAGAGCTTGGAGCAGAGCAGGTGCCCAATAAAAAGTTGTTGAATGAGCGAGAGAATTAAGCAACCTGCAGCTCTGGGCCTTGGGGCCAGTCCACTTTTGCTAACTTATTCCACCGCCACTCTAGACCCGGGTTGAGTTCTTCCTTTATTTCCCTAAATTCAAAGGAAAGTTCAGTCATCTCAAGCTTAATGGGCAGGACCGTAGAATCCCATTTTCTACAGTGAAAAACTGCCTTATAGGTTTTATTTGGGTTTAAATTAGGGGATAGATGATCGTTGTAAAAGAAAAATAGATAATATCAAAAGCAAAAGTAAAGTAAAAGAACCACCGACCCCCCAAAGGAAACAGACTCCTGCTGTAGATGGGAATGCCAAGGTCTGACGCTAAAGGAAAAGGGACTTGCTCAAAAGTCTTACGTGCCTTTTATCTGCGGATCGAAACCACGATTCTAGGCAGCCCCTGATTTCTGGTTCTGGCCACCTGTTTCCTGTACACACCCCGAACTTTCCCATCGAAGTTGGCTGGATCAAAACGCCTGACCTTCGCTATTCCCAGAAATGATCGGATTCGACAAAGTCCTAAATGGTAAACAGGGGCTTACATGCCAGAGAGCAGAATAACAGAATGAGAAGGACCGCCTTGAAACACGAAAGGGTCAACTTAGCACAAATATAGGAAAAAGTATTTAAGTACCATGCTTCTCTCAAAAAAGAAAGGAAGAAAAGAAATCCTATGGAAGCTCATAGCCCAAAAGAATGAATGCAGACAGAAATGTAAGTTACACAGTTTGGATAAAGTTGCATACATTTATTTAAGGTTATTAAGGACACCCACCTAACTCAGCTTCACTGAGTACATTCCTTTTAAGATTGACATTAAAGAAAGACAGGAAGACATATCTTTCCACACGAAACAAACAAACAAAAAAAAACTGGAAGGAATGAACCATGCAGCTGTGTGGAAAATTCTTGGGCAAAATCCTGGTTCTAAAGACACCTGGTTTATTCCCTCTAATTACAGTAGGGCTCTAACCACAGCAAGTTAGCGCCGACATTCCTCTCGGGCTGATTCCCAGTCTCCTTAGCCTCACAGAAAGCGAAGAGGCTGATAATACCAACATAGGCTGCTGCCCCATTTCCTGTGCTCATTCCGGGGTTCCTCCAGCCCCCATTCTGTCAGGCCTGCCCCCCACTCTGGCCTGGCGTCTTTTCTGATCTTGCTGTATAGCAACCACAGCTATTGATCTGTCACCATTATTTTCCCTGTCCCTAACACAGGCACCGAAACTTGGGTGGCGCCTAGGAAGTATTTGTTGGGTAAGGATGTCCTGTGGACCTTCAGGAGAAGCGGAGGCCAAATAACACATCCCTGGAGAGCGTAAGAGGCATGCTCCATCGGGCCCGGACACGGCCTACCTGGCCTCCATGTCACTCAACGCTGGCGCCCACACACCCTCTCCCTGGCTCTCCAACTTCCTTGATTTTGGGGGTCTTCTCTGATGGTTTCCACTATGTCTCTACGGGCCTCTTGCTCTCGATACACTTGCTTTCTTGCCACCATCACTACCGTCCACCTTCAGTGTCTGCACAGCGACTGCCATACCAAGGGTGCCAAAATCTACTTCTCTAGTAGTAATTTCTCTCCCTTTCTGAGCACATGGCGAACATTTCTAGCTCGGAACGCCTGGGGGAAATCTCCATTTGGATGTGGTTTCTTGCTGAAATGAAACACTTCCCCCACACCCACCCAAGAATGGAACCCACCCCAACTTCCCACTTGGGACACGGCGGAGACCTTCCTTCCAGCTCCTCGGGCACGTAGTCCTTGGACTTGTCTCTGAGTGTCTCCCTCTCTGAAAGCTTAGCTAATTCTCCTGACAGGAGGACTCTCCTATTCAATGTTCATTTCCTATTCTCTGCCCTCATTCATTCTTGCATGTTCCATGCTAATTCTCCCAGTGCCGGTATCCCCCACAGTCTAGTCCACCGTACATAACTTTTTCTGATGTATCTTCATCACACACAGTTCCCCTGCTGTGTCTCTGTCTATTGCCCTTTATGGGAAATGGAAACCCCCAAGAGGTGCAAGTCCATCTAGTTCTTGCCCAGGCACTCAATGGATTTCTTGCAGCAGGATCCTTACTTCTGCGTCCGGGTTTCGGCTGGTGTGATCCCTCGCCTACACAGCTCCCTTTCCAGCCCTGGTCACCATCACAGCTTCCTGCAGGGCCCACCTCTTCCAAGGAGCTTTTCCTGGCTAGCTGCATCACGGGAAGTCGTGATGAAAGTTTCATCGCAGGATGTGGCTGCCTTTCCTTCTCTTGAAGTTCATGTTTCGTTCTGGCTGTACTGACATTTTGTTTCGTGCTTGTTTAGCTAGTGATGATGTTTAAAACATTAAAAAAAATAATAACTACCATTTATGAAAGCCTACTACGTGCCAAGCAGCGAGCTAGGCCATTTATGAAGTTCAACCATCTTCTCAGCAACCATGCAGGCTATGTAGATATGACACCTATGTTACAAATAAGGCCACTGGGACTTAGAGAGAAGTCACTTGCTCCTCCATGTCCAGCTCAGAAGTGACAGAGCTGGGATTCAAACCCACAGAGCCCAGGTACAGTTCACGGTGCCATGTGTGTCTGTGCATAGACGTTTCTTGAGAACGGCAGCTTATTCTGTCCAAGTTAATCAAAGGCAGCAATTTTACCTTCTTCTTTTTTGTTCTCCCTATGAATAAGGAGAGCCTGTGGCCCCAGATACTTTTGTTATAGGTGTAAGCTCTAGTTTTCCACTGCAGGATCGCCGAGGGGTCACCTCATGACCACCTCTCGCGTGTGCACTAGACTGACTGCCAGGCAACACGGATTTGATTTTAAGATCCTTGTCTAACGGTTTTCTTCCTGTGAATGCCCACTCTGCTTCCTCCAAAGATCATCTGATGTAAGTCACTTGAAATGCCACTGTCCTTTGCTCTGAAGCCAAAACAATAAAAATCTGCACTATGTCCCGTGCTTCACGCGTCCTTTTAGTTCCCCAACCTGCCTTTGAAGTCACCAGACAGGCCTCACGCCTCACACACATGACAGCTTCCCACTAGACTCAGAGTCCCCACAGGAGCACACCAGTGGCTTTAACCCCTAGTACCTGGATCGCTGCATTTGCATGGGCTTTTCTTATTAGAAAAGGTCCACCTGGGGCTTACTACCTCAACTTTCTTAGATGAAAGACTCCCATTTCCCAAGTGGTTTCAATATTCATTATTTGTCATTTTATGTCATTTTAATAATATAACTGCTTCTGAACCTTTTATCCATGCATTGCTTTTGTGATTTCAAAATCCCAATAGGAAGGGCACTACATAAATGCCATTATTTCATTCTTCTGACTCCCCCTTTTTCTTGATGCTTGTTTGTTTTTTTAAGGCAGAATTTGGAGTACTAACGGGAACATTTTTCATGACTACCGTTGCAAACAGCTTACTGAGCAATGCATTTGGCCCTTCAGAATGATGATCTTTGAGGCCTGAAACCAACATTGTTAATAACACGGCGCAAAAGTATTTCTCAGTGCAGAGCCTTACCTTTCTGCTTCCAGGCGCATCTCTTCCCGCTTTTGCCTCCTCAGTTCTCTGCGACGTTCGAAATCATCCATGGTGCGATGTCAGGTTTAGGGAGACCAGGTGATGTCTGGATCTACAGGGGAGGAGGGAGAATGAATATGATCGATGAGTCCAAGTTATGATTTCCCAGAAATCACTTAAGCCCTTCCCCCACCCCTGCTATTTTTTAATTTCCTCATTTTTTTCTCTTTACTCTTAAGAAAAACAGCTTAGACATCGGGTGAGGTAGCCAGTGATCAATTTCTGACTCCTGAGCTGAGTCCTTTATGTGCTGAATTCAATCTCATTCATGAAACCAGTAGAGACGAATAAGTAAGATTCCACGGTTCCCGTTTAAAAAAAAAAAACACAAAGCCCTCAGGAGACAGAGAGATTTTGAAAACTTGAAATATTGATAGGATCACTTAAGAGCTACTGAAAGGTTTTGTTCTTTGTAACGTTGCTGAAGCATACACAGACAAAAGTTACAAAAAATGAACAAAGAAAGAGAGAAAGAAAACAAAAGTAAAAAAAGAAAAGAGGCAAGAAGAGGAATATGTAGGAAGAAAGAGAAAAGTGAACGAGAAGTAAAATAATAATACAGGTATCCAGCCACAATTTGCATCTTCTAAAAGAAGATGCGAGTGTTAATCGCAGAATGATAATAAGACCGCAGCAACCATACCGTGAATCAACGTAATGCAGCAGCATTTCAAAAGCAACGATTACGTTATGATCAAGCCGTTTCCAGAGCTTAAAAGTCCCGGCTCATTGTAACCGCGGGGTTTTCTCCTTTCCTACCTCCTCCGCGAGGGTTTTAATCCCGGGCAGATCCTCCCTTTCCAGCTCTTCAGCGGAGGAGCCCGCTTCCCGTGCGTGGCTGTGCCATGGAGTCAAGCACTCCAGAATTCCCCTGCAGCCCCCAAACCCAAAATGACTACCAGAAAAGGGGAAGCGGGCTCTTTTTGTCCTTGCTTTGTTTACAGAGCTGTCAGTGGTTAGTTAAACTCGGCCTGGAATCTGGCATTTAAGGCCTGCTTGAAGATTGTTTCCTGTGTGGAGCGGGAGGCCTCCACTTCCTCTGGAATCTTAGACTCTCCGCTGCGCTCAGATCACAAAAAATATTTTCCAGCCCTTTCTGTGCGCACGAGGCGAGCCATTTGCTCCGCGCGAGAAAATAAGGCGCCGCGCAAAACCTGAAGGCACCCCCCTAATGTATCTTTGTTTGAGGGAGCAAAGAGCACAACTTAGATTCTGAAGCCAAGTTTGGAGTCCTTAAATAAATCGTCAGTTTTTTTTTTCAAGCATTTTCCCCTCTTAGGAAACCCACACAAACAAAAATAAAACCTCAGCCAACAAAAACAAAAGCATCCAATGTTTGAATTTTTCCCCTTTCTCCTCCCTCAAGGTATTATTTATACTGCTTATAAATCTTTTAGAAATTCAAATTCTGGTGTTTATTTGGGGTTTTTAAATTTTAAGGTGTTTTTCTATCTTACCCCCTACTAAGAGTACTTTCTAAGACATTGCTAGTTGAGAAGGAATCAGTTTTTCCTTTTAAAAAATTATTTCATCAACCACGAAGAAATTTCTCTATATTTTCCAGTCAGATCTCATCACAGTTATCAGAATAAAAAAACAGTGAGGCGGGGGGAGTTGAGGGTCCCCCTGGGATGGGCTTCCGTTCTGAGCACAGTGCAAGGTGTGTGAGGACCGCCCAGTGGGCAGTGGGACTGCACCTGGGCTACTCGGTGCCCTGGGAGAGTCAACTCTGCTCTTTCCTTTCTTCAGTCAAGTCTCCTGTTGTCTGTGAGCCCCTTCTCTAATAACTACAGCAACTGCAAACAGAAGTGGGAGAAAGGGGTCTGCCTGTAAGCAAACGATTTCCCTCTTCCTCATCTATCCAAGCAGCTTAAAGAGCATCCTCCGAACCTCCGCTCCCCCCTCATCCAAGCTAGGCAGTCAGGCTGGTCCGTGAGGGCCACAGGGGTTCTGGTTTCTCAGCCCCCACCGCTGGTGGAGGTGCTAACGAGCAGGGAAAGCAGTGCTCCCCAGCAGGCTGAGGATGCGCTCCGTTGGCAGAGTCTCAGAGTACAGGACAGAAGGGAAACTCACTAACCTGGGCCGGCCCCTTCGGCTGGCCAACCTCCCTGGCTCTCGGCAAACACAGTTTTTCTCCTACCCATTTCTCCTCCTACTCCCCATCTTTTATTACTTACTTAAGCATTTTTTTTCTTTTCCAACCATAGAAAAACTCTATACCTAGCTGGTTATTTACTTATTTTAATGTTGCTGATTATGTATGCGGGGCACTGTGGGGGTGGGGGGTGGGGAGAGGAGAGAGTGGAAAGAGAGATAAGATAGATAGATAGATAGATAGATAGATAGATAGATAGATAGATAGATAATGCATCTACATAGACAAGTATTCTTCTGCATTATGCTTTGTGGGCTTGTGGAGGACATTCTAAAAGAGAAGAGAAAGAACTTCTGTGTTCTGTGTACTCTGGGATGTGTGTGTGTGTGTGTGTGTGTGTGAGAGAGAGAGAGAGAGAGAGAGAGAGAGAGAGAGAGAGAATGGCTCTTGGTTGGTCTCACGCCAACACCAAGCTGAAGATCCTTCTTAATCCTCACACCCTTATATCACAGGGCTTCTCCGAACTTCTCTGGCACCGTTCTTATGTCAGGGGAGCCGCGTCTGCGTAGAACTGTAAGTGATTCCCCACCCCCTTCCTCCTTTGAGAGCAGTAGCTCCCATGTCCCCAGCTAGTAATCTCTCATTTCCTCCCCTCCCCTCCGGTCCGTGCTGAATTCCTTCCAGCAGCATTGGTTAGGAAACAAACTCTCAACCCATGAAGCGATGAAATCTCAATGCTGAGAGATTCTGTAAACTGGGGAGCTCTTGGTGTCAAGAACAGACAGAGGGGCCCGGAAGAGAAATCCTGACTAAAGGAGGTACGTATCAATGAATGTGACAGGTGGGTTCTTGAAAAGTTTTATGAAAACCAAAATTTTGTGCTGGGGGGATTGTAGCCATGCTATTGAAAGAATTCTGATGTGACGCCTTTTATAAAGGGAAAGGAGCACTTTCCACAGGCCAATGCTGCATTACCTACTGATATATGTATCTGTCTGTTCAGTATGGGTTTTCCAATATCAGATTTTCTTAGAACAGGCCACACCTATGCTGTCAGAAGTAAGTAATAAGGCAGTGTGACGGATTTCAAATTGTGCTGTCTTTCCTTTTGGTAATGCACCCTAAGCACTCAGCTGTCAGGGGGAGAAGTCAGGTGGTGGAAGCTAAGTCCTAGGTACCCTCAAATGACCATAAACTGAGTGGGCGGGGGCAAGTCTTTGCAGTTTGGGCGCAGTACCAACCTTGGTCTCGAAATACATCGAGAATAAAACCTGTTGTGTCCTGGACTTTGAATAAGTTAACTCAGCTTCCAAAATAACTAACATCTCTTGAACACGTAGTATGTGCTCGGCCTTTTAAAAAACGTTTTTCAATCAATAAATTTTATTTCTTAGAGTAGTTTTAGGCTAAAAAAAAGAACAGAAAGTACAGAGTTCCCATATATTCCCTTTCCTTCACCTCTGCCCACAACTTCTCCATTTGCACTGAATTGTGTATTCTCAGGTGTGACGAAGTCCTAACTCCCAGTACTTCTGAATGTGACCTTATGTGGAAATAGTCTTTTGCACGCGTAGCCAAGTTAAGGTGAGCTCACTAGGATGGGCTCTGATCTCCTAGGATTGATGTCTTTATAAAAAGGGAAACTTTGGACATAGAGACAGACACACAAAGGGAATGCCACGAGAAGGAGGAGTGTTAAGGAGCACCCGAGTGACCAGAGAGAAGGTGGGAGGGAGGCGTGGGGTAAATTTCTCCCTGGAGTCTGCGGAGGGAGCATGTCTGCTGACACTGGTCTCGGGCTGCTAGCTTCCAGAACTGTGAGACAGTGTGTCCCTCCTGTTTGAAGCCATGGCAGCTTAGCAATCTGCTATACCCTAGTAACATCTTGCAGTAGTGGGGTACATTTATTACTACTGGTGAGCCAATACTGGCGTTCTTATTAATGAAAGTACACCGATTACATTAGGTTTCACACTTTGTGTGATACAGTTCTAGAGGTTTTGCCAAATGCATCATGTCCTGTGTCCACCATGACAGTATGAGAATGGTTTCACTGCCCTAAACAGCCCCTCCCTTTCCCTACCTCCCCATCGCACCCCTTGGCAACCGCTGATCTTATCACTGTTTCTGTGGCTTTGCCTTTCCAGATTGCCACATAGTTGGAATCACACAGCATGTGGCTTTTTCAGACTGGTTTCTTTCCCTTAGCAATGTGCACTTCAGTTCCGCCACGTCTTTTTGTGGCTTGATAGTGTGCTGAGCCATTTCAGAATATGCAATCTTATTTTAGCTACATAACAAACCTGTGAAGCAGCTATTATAATCCCCATTTTACAGAATTCAACCTATGTGCTCTTAACTGCAAAAGTATTCTTGGACTAATCCACACTTTCCTTTAAGAATTGTTTTCCCTTTCAGGAAATACGTACTCGTGCCCGGGGGAAGGTCTGGGGACACTATTGTCATCAGCGATCTCTGGTTTAGTCCATTGGATTGCATGACCTCAGGTATGAGGTGATCTTTAAAACGACCCATGTCTCTTCAGTTTCAAACCCATTTGGTTTAAATCATAAAGTTATCATGCCTCAGAGATCTTAATTAAATCAAACCTTGCAAACATTTATTAAGCCCTTATCACTTTACTGTTGCTTCTTTGTAAGATTCATAAACTAGGATGGCCACGTGTTGGAGCACATCGCTGCACCCCTTTCTTTGAGTCGTTAGAGTTTTTTCTCTTGCATTGCACCTTCCTCGTTACCTGTCTTCCTGCTGTGATCCACTACAGACTCCCTCACAACGTGACTATTCCTCTGTTATTGCAAGGAGCCCTCGTCTTTCCACACTCACAGCCATTATGGCTAGTCATCATTAGGTGCCCACTGTAAATCACATGGTCCAACTACTTCGCTGAAGCCTCACAAAAGCATTTATACCATCAATATTCAAGGAACATTTAC